AGACGTGGATAGAGCAGGGACAGGAATGGTTGTTGCAGGTTCCGGGGTTTAGATGTTTCAGTAAGATCAGGGAAGGTGGTAAAAGAGGGGGAGGTGTGGCATTGTTAGTCAAGGACAGTATTACGGTGGCAGAAAGGACATTTGATGACAACTCGTCTACTGAGGTAGCATGGGCTGAGGTTAGAACCAGGAAAGGAGAGGTCACCCTGTTGGGAGTTTTCTATAGGCCTCCGAAACGTTCCAGAGATGTAGAGGAAAAGATTGCAAAGATGATTCTGGATAGGAGCGAAAGTAACAGGGTAGTTGTTATGGGGGACTTTAACTTTCCAAATATCGACTGGAAACGCTATAGTTCGAGTACTTCAGATGGGTCAGTTTTTGTCCAATGTGTGCAGGAGGGTTTCCTGACACAGTATGTAGATAGGCCAACAAGAGGCGAGGCCACATTGGATTTGGTACTGGGTAATGAACCAGGCCAGGTGTTAGATTTGGAGGTAGGTGAGCACTTTGGTGATAGTGACCACAATTCGGTTACGTTTACTTTAGCGATGGAAAGGGATCGGTATATACCGCAGGGCAAGAGTTATAGCTGGGGGAAAGGCAATTATGAGGCGATGAGGCAAGATTTAGGATGCATAGGATGGAGAAGGAAACTGCAGGGGCTGGGCACAATTGAAATGTGGAGCTTGTTCAAGGAACAGCTACTGCTTGTCCTTGAGAAGTATGTACCTGTCAGGCAGGGAGGAAGTGGTCGAGCGAGGGAACCGTGGTTTACTAAAGAAGTTGAATCTCTTGTCAAGAGGAAGAAGGAGACTTGTGTAGAGATGAGGCGTGAAGGCTCAGTTAGGGCGCTTGAGAGTTACAAGTTAGCCAGGAAGGACCTAAAGAGAGAGCTAAGAAGAGCCAGGAGGGGACATGAGAAGTCTTTAGCAGGTAGGATCAAGGAAAACCCTAAAGCTTTCTATAGGCATGTCAGGAATAAAAGAATGACTAGAGTAAGATTGGGGCCGGTCAAGGACAGTAGTGGGAAGTTGTGTGTGGAGTCCGAAGAGATAGGAGAGGTGCTAAATGAATATTTTTCGTCAGTATTCACACAGGAAAAAGACAATGTAGTCGAGGAGAATACTGAGATACAGTCTATTAGACCAGACGGGATTGAGGTTCATAAGGAGGAGGTGTTAGCAATTCTGGAAGGTGTGAAAATAGATAAGTCCCCTGGGCCGGATGGGATTTATCCTAGGATTCTGTGGGAAGCTAGAGAGGAGATTGCAGAGCCTTTGGCTTTGATCTTTATGTCGTCATTGTCTTCAGGAATAGTGCCAGAAGACTGGAGACTAGCAAATGTTGTCCCCTTGTTCAAGAAGGGGAGTAGAGACAACCCTGGTAATTATAGACCAGTGAGCCTTACTTCGGTTGTGGGTAAAGTGTTGGAAAGGACTATAAGAGATAGGATTTATAATCATCCAGAAAGGAATAATTTGATTAGGGATAGTCAACACGGTTTTGTGAAGGGTAGGTCGTGCCTCACAAACCTTATTGAGTTCTTCGAGAAGGTGACCAAACAGGTGGGTGAGGGTAAAGCAGTTGATGTGGTGTATTTGGATTTCAGTAAAGCGTTTGATAAGGTTCCCCATGGTAGGCTATTGCAGAAAATACGGAGGCATGGGATTGAGGGTGATTTAGCGGTTTGGATCAGAAATTGGCTAGCTGTAAGAAGACAGAGGGTGGTGGTTGATGGGAAATGTTCATCCTGGAGTTCAGTTACTAGTGGTGTACCTCAAGGATCTGTTTTGGGGCCACTGCTGTTTGTCATTTTTATAAATGACCTGGATGAGTGCGTAGAAGGATGGGTTAGTAAATTTGCGGATGACACCAAAGTCGGTGGAGTTGTGGATAGTGCGGAAGGATGTTGTAGGTTACAGAGGGACATAGATAAGCTGCAGAGCTGGGCTGAGAGGTGGCAAATGGAGTTTAATGCAGAAAAGTGTGAGGTGATTCACTTTGGAAGGAGTAACAGGAATACAGAGTACTGGGCTAATGGTAAGATTCTTGGTAGTGTGGATGAGCAGAAAGATCTCGGTGTCCATGTGCATAGATCACTGAAAGTTGCCACCCAGGTTGATAGCGTTGTTAAGAAGGCGTACGGTGTGTTAGGTTTTATTGGTAGAGGGATTGAGTTTCGGAGCCATGAGGTCATGTTGCAGCTGTACAAAACTCTGGTGCGGCCACACTTGGAGTATTGCGTACAGTTCTGGTCACCGCATTATAGGAAGGATGTGGAAACATTGGAAAGGGTGCAGAGGAGATTTACCAGGATGTTGCCTGGTATGGAGGGAAGGTCTTACGAGGAAAGGCTGAGGGTCTTGAGGCTGTTTTCGTTAGAGAGAAGGCGGCTAAGAGGTGACTTGATAGAGACATACAAGATGATCAGAGGATTAGATAGGGTGGACAGTGGGAGCCTTTTTCCTTGGATGGTGATGGCTAGCACAAGGGGACATAGCTTTAAATTGAGGGGTGATAGATATAGGACAGATGTCAGAGGTAGGTTCTTTACTCAGAGAGTAGTAAGGGTGTGGAATGCCCTGCCTGCAAAAATAGTAGACTCGCCAACTTTAAGGGCATTTAAATGGTCATTGGATAAACATATGGATGATAATGGAATAGTTTAGGTTAGATGGGCTTCAGATTGGTTTCACAGGTCGGCGCAACATCGAGGGCCGAAGGGCCTGTACTGCGCTGTAATGTTCTATGTTCTATTGCTGGGCCCCTTGCTGAGATATTTGTATCATCAATAGCCAATGGCAAAGTGCCAGAAGACTGGAGGTTGGCTAACGTCATGCCACTATTTAAGAAAGATGGTAAGGAGAAGCCAGGGAACTATAGACCAGTGAGCCTGACATTGTTAGAGGGAGTCCTGAGGGACTAGTTTAACATGTATTTGGAAAGGCAAGGACTGATTAGGGACAATCAACATGGCTTTGAGCATGGGAGGTTGTGACTCACTTAACTTGAGTTTGAAGTAACAAAGAGGACTGATGAGGGCAGAGCAGTGGACATGATCTATATGGACATCAGTAAGGCATTTGACTAGGTTCCACATGGTAGACTGGTTAGCAAGGTTACATCACATGGAAGAGAGGTAGAACTAGCCATCTGGACACAGAACTGACTCAAAGGTAGAAGACAGAGAGTGGTGGAAGAGGGTTGCTTTTCAGACTGGAGGCCTGTGACCAGCGGTGTGCCACAAGGATCGGTACTGGGCCCACTGCTTTTTGTCATTTATATGATTGATTTGGATGTGAACGTAGGAGGTATGGTTAGTAAGTTTGCAGATAACATCAATATCGGAAGTGTAATGAACAGCAAAGGTTACTTCAGAGTACAATTGTATCTTAATCAGATGGGCCAACAGGTTGAGAAGCGGCAGATGGAGTTTAATTTAGATAAACTTGAAGTACTGCATTTTGGAAAGGCAAATCAGGGCAGAATTTATACACTTAATGGTGAGGTCCTGGGGAGTGTTGATCAACTAAAAGATCTTGGAGTGCAGGTTCATAGTTCCTTGAAAGTGGAGTAACAGGTAGATAGGATAGTGAAGGCGGCATTTGGTATGCTTGCCTTTATTGGTCAGTGTATTGAGTATAGGAGTTGGGAAGTCATGTTGTGGCTGTACAGGATATTGGTTAGGCCACTATTCAAATTCTGTGTGCAATTCTGGTCTCCCTGCTATAGGAAGGCTGTTGTGAAACTTGAAAGGGTTCAGAAAAGATTTACCAGGCTATTGCCAGGATTGGAGGGTTTGAGCTATAGGAAGAAGCTGAATAGGCTGGGGCTATTTTCCCTGGAGTGTCGAGAGGTGACTTGGAGGTTTATAAAATCATGAGGAGCATGGATAAGTAGTCAAGGTCTTTTTCCTAGGATAGGGAGTCCAAAACTAGACGGCACAGGTTTAAGGTAACAGGGAAAAGATTTAAAAGGGACCTATGGGCCAACTTTTTCACACAGAGGGTGGTGTGTGTATGGAATGAGCTGCCAGAGGAAGTGGTGGAAGCTGGTACAATTACAACATTTAAAAGGTACCTGGATGGGTAAATGAATAAGAAAGGGCTGAGGGGGATATGGGCCAAATGCTGGCAAATAGGACTAAATTTATCTAGGATATCTAGTCAGCATGGACAAACTGGATCGAAAAGTCCATTTCTGTGCTATACATCTGTGACTCTAAAGGCTATCATAGTGGGTTGTCTACCATTAACCATAAATCGGGCCCTTACATAGAAAGATTTGTGGTAGTCTATTTGCAACCTTCTGGTATCAAACCTAACAGCAAACAACCTTCACTGAATCACATTCTGTCAAAGATGCCATGGAGTGCTGGAAATGGCATTTGCAGCTGAGTGGATGGAGAACAAAAGCAAGGAATATTTGCTAAGATTATACAAGGCAGTACTCAGATCTCAGCTGGAATACTGTGAATGGTTTTCAAACCCTTATCGAATCCAAGACATACTGGCATTGGATACAGTCCAGAAAAAGTTCACTAGGCTGATCTTGGTAATGGAGGGACTGTCTTAGAAGGTGAGCCTGAATAGGTTGGACTCATTGAAGTTTAGGAAAAGAGGCAACCTTATTGAAGTATACAAGATTCTCAAGGATCTTGACAGAGCAGGTGGTGGGAGAGTCCAGGATCAGAGGACATAAATTTCAGAACAAGGCGTTCCATCAAGGTTGGAAGTGATGATAGCACATTTCAAGAGAGGGCAGTAGCTGAGGAGATAGAGCCTTTAATGTCAGTGAATTAGGAGGTAGGTTTCATATCAAAATAAAGTGCCAAAGGAATGTGGGGTGAACTAACTGATGATTGAGGTTTCTGTAAGGACACACAATGGAAGGTACAGCCAGATGAAGTCGTCTCTTGGCAATAAATGTAGGCTTTGTATGTCACACTTGCATTCAGTGAATGAATTAAAAATTCCAATCTCCACTAAAAACATGACAAGTTTGTATAACTATCCTTTATTGAAACAAGTAATTTTAATATGTTCACATACATTATAGTAAGTCATCATATAACTGTAACTGTACAAGATTTGAACCATAGAAGCAATCTGCCTTTTTAGAAGTGTTAAAATATAAAATCAATTATTTTACAACTCAATAAAGGTAAAGTCTTTAATACAGGATTACATATAGATATCAGTCCAAAAGCTTTGTCCTTCGATAATATTTGTACTGCCACCATTTACCAGTGCTTTTCCTGGCTTTTCAGTTTCTTTTGTCATTCTATTAAATCCTGGAAAAACAAGCTGTCAGTAATATTCAGCGATTTTTCTTTAAATAAAATTACTCTTGTTTACACCATACATAGTGAAATGGGGAGGGGAGACCACTAATAGTACTTCTATTATCAATCAAATATCTCAGCATAATATTTCAGTATCCCTTTATACGTGCAGCAATAAAGAACTGCACTGTCAGATATTAGGCAGAGTTTTGTCAGTAATTAGAAAAGCATCAGTTGGGTACAGTACAGAGAAACATGGTTTCCCAAATATCTCCCAATTCCCCTTACAACCACTCTAATATTACCTGATTGATTTGGGAGTATTTTATGCCTCAGTGACATAGACAACTCAATTAAAGAAGAATGATCCCCTAGTTTCATTATAGCACACCTAATGATTTCATTCTGAATTGTAGAATTTCAACACTTCATTTACACGGAAAGAAATAATTCAACATTTAAAATCCAGTCATTGATACTAAAAAATACAATGGTCAGGGCCATTCTTTGTGATATTTGTACAAAACACTGCACTACTAGACAACTGACAGTAAATGGCAGATCTGCCTTAAGACATCTAGTGTTTAGCAGTTACATTTTATTAAGTTTCCCTTCCATAGAGGTTTGAAACAGTGAACAGTTTTCTTTCCATTATTCTCAACGAAACGGCACCTCAAATTGTGCAGTTATATCTCCACATACATTAACATCTTAATTTTAATCAACTCGGCATATGTGCTTAGTTTGAAGATTGTACATTCATACTTTGGACATAAATCATAGTGGTTCAACTCCAGAATAATATTGCAGTTTCTTGTTTAGATGAAGGGAGGCTCAAAGCATTTCCGGCACCACTCTATTTTGGTGCAGGGCGGTAAATCAATTGGAAGGGCCACCTTCACTTGTTCTTCTGTCAAGCGCTCATAAGCTGCTCTGTATTCTCTATCAAAAGCATCTGTAATCACAAGTGTCAAGCCAAGTCATTAAATTAGAACTTAGATGTTTAAATGTGTTTACTTCTCCACAGGCCAGCAGTCATAACAACAGACGGAATGATACAGTACAGGAGACCGCTTGGCCCATCACGTTCCCACTCATTCCCGGTCCTTAATGCAAATACCATTTTCACAATCTGCCCCCAGACCACTTGCAGCTCACTAAAATGATTCTATCACTGATTGTCAAAATAATCTGTGCCTGGTTGCACATTGATGTTTCTGGTCAAATTCCTCAAATTTCAGTCCTGAATGGCATTAATTTGCACCCTGTGTTCCTATAGATGTCAATGAGGAGAAACGTCTTACCTACATCAACCCTGTCTATTCATTTCATTCTTCAAAACTCTAGAGAATACAGGTTTGACCAATCTCTCTTCATAGGGCAGTCCTGACTTCTGCTACTGATGGAAAGGCAATAGGTCTGTAGTTCACTGTTGTCTTTCATTCATCCATTGTCAACTCTCATTATGTACTTCCTGAAATGCCTGTTCTTAGGACCGTATTAATCAAAAGCAATACTTTCTTTGTAGATGTACCAAGATACAGTGCAAGGTATTGTTTTGCATGCTATCCAGGCAAATCATACCTTAATACATACTGTAAGCTTGACTACTCTGCCTGGACTATGTAGCAGAGGCGGGTAGTAGGAGTTGGTGTCAGAGACTTGGCATTCAATATCTGCTAGGCTGAGATCAGAGGCCATTATCCTTTTCCACAATATTCAATAACAATTCTACGGTTAGACCTGAATGAACTTCCTTGCTTTCTCGGTTTAGATTTTCATTTAATATTTACTAGAAGTAAACTTATTCTCACAGCTGCGCTGACTACATTTCTTCACATGGTATTTTCTTTAAGGACACTTCTCCATTCTTCTAGTTTCTCAGTCTCCATTACACGTGTTCAAACAATGCAACCTTGTACACTACAGCTTCTGATATGGTTTCATAGAAACCTGACAGTGCAGAAAGAGGCCATTCAGACCATCAAATCTGCACTGACCCTCTAAAGCGCATTCCATCCAGACACAGATCCCCACCCAATCCCTGCAATTTAGCACGGCCAATCCACTTGGCCTGCACATCCCTGGACACAACTGGGCTATTTAGCATGGCCAATCTACCTAATCTCTTATGGAGGACTTCATCAAAAGGCATCTAAAAGTCCAAATAAACCACATCCTCTGGCTCCTGGTTATCAACTCTATTAGTTACATCCTCAAAAAAATTCCAGTTGATTTGTCATGAATGATTTCATAATTTTTATTTTCCAATCTTTTATAATGGAATCTAGCATTTTCCCTTCCACCAATGTCATGCTAACTGTTTCATAATTCCCTGCGTATTCTCTCCTTTTGTTTTGTTTGAAAGTATGAAGGTTTACATGCACTACCCCAAGGTCTTCTTCCCACTGTAGGGGATTCCAAAACTAGAGAGCAATGGTTTAAGGTGAGGGAGGAAAAAGATTTAAAAAGGGACCTGAGGGGCAATATTTTCACGCAGAGGGTGGAGAGTGTATGGAACAAGCTACTAGATGAGAGATGGAGGCGGGTACAATTACAACACTTAAAATGCATCTGGATGGGTACCTGAATAGGGTATAGAGGGATATGGGCTAAAAGCTGACAAATGAGACTAGTTCAGTTTAGGATATTTGGTCGGCATGCACGAGTTGGACCACTGTATGACTCAAAAGGTACAATATATGGAATGGTCACAGCACACAGCATTAGTAAATACATTACACAGATAAGAAATATTTACCTGCTATACATTATATCTTGCTTTTGAAATGAAATGTTAAAATTAAAAAAAGTGTGTTGAAACACATTTCTAGAAGGCTGAAAGGTACAAATCTGAAAGTTCTTCCTACACATCAGGCTTTACTCACCAATATCAATATTCTCTCTTCCAAGGGCCACCAGAGAAAGAAAGAGAATTTCCCTGTACATACTCCTATACAGAAAGAAAATAATTCCAATGACTGTCAAGTTACTGATGAATCAAAATCTGTCAACAGATATAGACTAAACCATCAACGACATCCACAATTATAATCTGAGGCAATGTCTGTGTCCAGCTCTGATTTACACACATTAGAATCTACAAACAAATCAGCAGCAATGAAACATAGGGAGCAGCATAACATCTGTACCTGAAGTCAGTCATGGTTGAAGACTACCTATCAGTATCAAAAACAAAGTTTATGGCAGAGACTAATAATGTTTTCAGAATTTAGATACAGCAGAGGGTTCTGAAAATTTCTGACCTTTGTCTCTTGATTTCAGGGTGTTTGCTGGACTCTTTGAGGATTAGGCATATAGGTCCAAACACATCATTGGTCTGGATGCTCCTCACAATTATATGCAGCGAACTCTTCTCCACCTGACTATCTGGAGTTAATCCACCAACCAGATTTTTGTCTGCGAATAAAGATGATTAATTTAATATTTTGGATACAAAAGCATTCACTCCGATGACAATTTATTTTGTTGTTTTACAATCATACTATCCACATTTACAAGCAAAACTATGAAATAACATGCATTGATGATAAGAGACTCAATGTACAAAATTTGAACATTAGAAACAACTTCTAAAATGTCTGATTTTGCTCTTCTAAAGTGTTAGAATGCACAGAGAAATTCAGAGCAGAGATTATAGGTGTGAGTTAATCAGAGCAGTCCAATAGACACTGAACTCAATTCGTCAGACACAGATCCATACTAGATTGTGGAAGTCACCACATAATTAGAGAAAGTAGACAATATTCCAGACAGAGACTGTGACAAGTGAAATTTAAATAATAGGCTCTCTTACTCCATAATGAAACCATACTGTGTTCAGTTAACAAGCTGCTGTTTTACGTAGCATAAGTCATGATACAGTTTTCTTCAAGCATAATGCCTCCATCAACTTAAACTTTGCACAATTGTTAATTTTTGTAGTATACAGGTGATTGCAATTTATTTCTGTGTTCACAGCTCCTTGCTGAACATGTTCCCATTTGTGATCTAACTTTCAATGACATATTTGTATATTAAAGTTTTTAAAAAAGATTCATTCACATGAAGTGGGCATCTCTGGCCAGGCCAGCATTTATTGCTCATCCCCAATTGCCCAGAGGGTAGTTAAGAGGCAACCACATGGCTGTGGCTTGGAGTCACACATAGGCCATGCTAGGTACGAATGGCAGTTTCCTTCCCTAAAGGACATTAGTGAATCAGATAGGTTCTGACAATTGACAGTTTCATGGTCATCATTAGTTTCAATTGCAAATTTTTATCGAATTAAAATTCCACCATCTGCTATGGTGGGATTCAAACCCAGGTCCCCTTACCTGAATTTCTGAATTAATAGTGAAATAAGTTTGGGTTTTGATCCAACCAGCAACAGCTAATATCAATTTTGTCAAGTTGAACTTTGATTACAACGTACTTAGCATACCTGGGCTTTTACTGGTCAGCACAGGCAGGTGACAGTGATAAAATAAGTCACCTGTACATCAACATTGCTTCGAAATTAACTACATTATTTTGAAACTGGTACGAGATAATTATATCTACTGGCATTGCACTGATATTTCACTGTTAGGCTAACTACAAGTCCAAAAATAACAATAAAGACAGCAAATAGAAAAGTACAGGGAAAATCTGTTCCATACAGTCAATCTCAGCCACTTACTCCTGTTTCTCCAACGTATATACATTGGATCACCAGGCTCTTGATGAAGATTAATGTTATCCCAAAGTAGCTGTATGTAAACCAGTTTGCTGTCCTGTGAAAGACTTGACTGAGACATCTAGGAGAGGAAAAAAAAAGTGTATTATTTGAGAGATAGTAGGAACTGCAGATGCTGGAGAATCTGAGATAACAGGGTGTAGAGCTGGATGAACACAGCAGGCCAAGCAGCATCAGAGGAGCAGGAAAGCTGACGTTTCGGGTCTAGACCCTATTATTTGAGAACCATGTTTATGATATTTAAAGAAGCCCATTTAACAAGTGAATTCATAAACTGTAAATGGGAAAACATCAGCTTCTATTAACTTCAATTAATTAGAGAATTTTAATGTTTTTTATTCATTCATTGCATTTTGGGCATCACTGGCTAGGCCAGCATTAATTGCCCATCCCTAATCAACAACCACTGTGGTACAAAATCTTCTTACAATCAATCTGTTTATGCAAGCATAACCAATAAAGGGACAGAACCAATGCACAGGCCATCTTAGAGCACAACAGTAGCAAACTCTCAAAACTGCTGTGCAACTTGTCATGGTGGCACATATTATTCATACGTAGAGAGCGTTACTTTGCATTTAACCATACTAAACTCAATACAGTATCCAAAATGAACACGTTCCATTCTCTTACATAGAAGATAGAACAGTGCAGTTACATGAAAAGCATAAGAAGCCTTTATCTTGAAAATAAATGTTCAGTAACAACACTTACAACAGTTTTGAACTGCACAAACTTAAGGATACAGTGGAACATAAATGAATTGGAATAAACTGGTATGGACTTGGTGCCATTAGAAGTAAGCTTTGCATTCAAATCCAAATGTCTATGGGCTACCTTGTGTACACAACATCGCCTGATACAAAGTTTATGTATTCTATCCACCAAACAAATAGTGTGAAGAACATTTATTTTCAAACCTATAGATTCACAAAATACAAATTGGATTAAGGAAAGTCTAAGAAACATAAGCACAAATACAAGCACATTGCCTGGGCTTTATGGACTGCCAAACCAGAAATGGGTGGTATGTGAAGCGTTGAAATTGATGGAAAACCCAGTAGCACAAACTGGAAAGTGGGGAATTAATCAGTTACTCAAAAAGTCCTCAAGTTAAAACATCATTGATTTCCCCTCATGATTACTGTAATGTCCTATTTGACACAGAAGCTGTCAAGCTGAAGAAAGCAATACTATTGCTCTTCAACTGCAATTTCAGATTACATCAGTTGTTTTTAAAATGTCCCAAATTTAAGGAATTTCAACTATTAGAGGTGCCCCATAGAAGCAGTAAGCACTGCATCCAACTTATTGAAACTTTTTTTTCTTTTCTTTTAAATCACTCTCTTGTACCATGATGCTATAAGAATTTATTTTAGTAGCTGTCTTATTAATCAAATACACAATAATACAAGAATGATTTTTCTTTTAAACAAGGTGACAACAAAAGTACACAAAAACTTACATTCATGACTAGCATATATAAGAATGCCTGATTTGGTATGCCGACAAATCGTGGTCAACATATAGCTTATGGAAGTTACCCCAAAAATTTGATTGGATTTATCCTTATTATTTTCACGTGTACAGGGATACACTGAATGCATTGTATTGACAAATCATACCTTACATTAGTATGTCAGGGTAATAGAACAGAATGCAAAATATACAGTGTTACAGCGACAGAGAAGGTGCAGAGAACAAGCAACTCTAATATATGAGAGGTCCGTTCATAACTCTGATAACAGCACGGAAGAAGCTTTTCTTAAATCTGTTAGTACATGTGTTTACACTTTTGTATCATTTTGTAACAGTGTAAAATGAAATGGCTGCTAATCTCCAACATACCTGCATGCCGTTATTGCAATGTTCAGAAGTAAGGATGAGACCTGGCAGGTTACTTGGCAAATCCAGCCTTCTGAAATACCAAACAAGGTTCCAGAAAATGATTGGGTGCTGGTTGATGAACTTAGAGCTGTGAATCACCTGATCTCCCTCATTCTCCAACAGAGACTCCAGTTCCTTACGCAGGACTAATGGACTCAGATATGGGACGGACACAGGCTTCGGATTAGGCCTTCTTTTAAGGCCTACAGAATCCTAGTGAACAAATATAAAATGGTGTTCAGTGAATTCATATATGACTGCAAAATATTAATGAAAAACTTAAGACTGCAGTCATTTTCTAAAGAAACGCTCAAACAGAAATTGGTTTCAGGAATCTTCAAAATGAGTTCCTTAACAGGAAGAGGATACAGTGGATAAAGTAGACATCACTACAAAGTAGCGGACTGCACAACGTCATCAAAATTAAGCCAATCCTTGGCAGAGGACCTGCTAAACCAATATGTGAGCCAGTCACGCCTCAATACTCCAGGAAACAGTTATCAAATCAGGCTTATCAAACACTCTGCTGCTTATACACTGTCCTGCATCAATCTCTCTTCACCCAATCTTGGGCTTATTGACTTACAGCGGCTCCTGGCCCAGCAAAACGTACTTCCCAAAATTCTCAACATTATCATCAAATCCTTTTAAGGGCTTGCTTCTCCCCAGCTCATCTTCCAGTTAAACAACCAACATTTCTTCTAAGCTGCACTGGAGAAAGAAAAGGAAAGGGAGGATAAGCAACAGAGAGCAGGCAGGCAGAGTGGCAGGAGCAAGGGTGGACAGAGAGGGCAGGTGGACAGACAGAGGGGGCGCGTGCGAGCAAGCGGGAGGAGAGAGCGCGCACGAGCGAGCAAACGGGCAGGCAGTAGGAGAGCGCGGAGAAAGGACAGAAACGGTTTACCAAGGTGTTGCCTAGTTTGGAGGGTATTAGCTAGGAGGAGAGATTGGATAAACTTGGTTTGTTTTCAGTTGAACATCAGAGATTGAGGAGCGACCTGACAGAAACTTACAAAATTATAAGAGGCATGTTGGAATAGATAGTCTGAGTCTTTCTCCCTGGTAGAAATGTCAATTACTAGGGGATATAGGTTTAAGGCAAAGCAGGAAAGTTTAAAGGGGATGTGAGGGGTAGGGTTTTGTTTTTACACAGTGGATGCACTGTCAGAGGTGGCAGATAAAATTGCAATGCTTAACAGGCGGACAGACAGACAGGACAGACAGACAGGACAGACAGACAGGACAGACAGGGCAGACAGACAGACAGGACAGACAGGACAGACAGACAGGACAGACAATCTCCCTAGGTTAGAACTGACCCAGATCCCCGGCACTGTGAGGTAGCAAGGCTAACCACTGTGCCACCCTCTTGATTTAATTGTATTTTTAAAAAAACAGTTATAATAGCAAGAAAAGGATCCAATGCCTGAAATGTCACACAACTGTGGTGCTGCCCCACATTCAACAATTCCAGAAAAAGTTAGACAGGTCCTGCACTGCACATAACTGGGGAATAACAGGGAAACAACATTAAAACAAAAGTGTTGTAATACTCAGCAGATCTGGCAGCATTTTTAAAGCGCAAATCACCAAGTCAAACATAAATTACTTTTCCTCAGAACCAAAACTACAGTTTAGAAATCCACCAGGTGGCGCTTCAGCCAGAAATAGGTTTTATACGGTACATAAACAAGCAGTTTTGCAAGAGGAAAATGCTTCATTCAAATTAATCCATTCCATTTTAGTTTTTCATCTCATCATCCTTCCTTCCCCTTGAATTCAATTTCTTCAGCAACATTTGAACTTCCTTCATAACCTAACGCCATATGTGCGTACAATTTAGTAAAAGAAAGAGTTCTGGTTTAACTTCCTAAATATTAAATCATGTCTCCTAGATGAAGCACCTCCCATCAGGATGGACAAGTTGTGAATTAATGGCTTAAATCTATTTTCCAGCCAAGAAAATATTTTCTTTCAATTCCATCGAGGGATGGGGGCATTGCTGGCTGGCCAGCATTTATTGTCCATCCCTATTTGCCCTCGAGAAGGTGGTGGTGAGCTGCCTTCTTGAAACACTGCAGTCCACGTGCTCTAGGTTGACCCATAATGCCATTAAGGAGGGAATTCAAGGACTCAGTGACAGTGAAGATGATATATTTCTATGTCAGGATGTTGAGTGGCTTGGAGGCAACTTGCAGGTGGTGGTGTTCCCATGTATCCGCTGCTTGTCCTATAGGTTTAAGGAATCTTTGGTGAATTTCTGCAGTGCATCTTGTAGATAGCACACACTGCTGCTACTGAGCGTCGGTGGTGGAGGGAGTGGATTGTTGTGGATCTGGTGCCAATCAAGCGAGCTGCTTTCTCCTGGATGGTGTCAAGCTTCTTGAGTGTTGTTGGAGCTGCATCCATTCAGGTAAGCAGGGAGTATTTCATCACACTCCTGATTTGGGCCTTGCAGATAGAGGATAGGCTGTGTGTGCGTGTGCGTGGAGAGAGAGAGTCCGGAGGCAAATTACTTGCTGCAGTATTCCTAGTCTCTGAGCTCCTGTGTAGCCACTGTATTTACGTGGTGAGTCCAGTTGAGTTTCTGGTTGATGGTAACCCCCTGGATGTTGATCGGTGGGGATGCGGTAACAATAATGTCATTGAATGGCAAGGGACGGTGGTTAGATTATCTTTTATTGGAGATGGTCATTGCCTATTATTTATGTGGGGCAAATGTTATTTGCAATTCGTCAGCCCGAGGTTGGATATTGTCCAGATTTTGTTGCAATTGAACATGGACTGCTTCAGTGTCGGAGGAGTCATGGCTGGTGCTGAAATCAGTGTACATCCCCACTTCTCTTCTATTGATGGAGGAAAGGCATTGATTAAGCAGCTAAAATGTTTGGGCCTCAGGCACTACTCTGAGGAGCTCCTGCAGTGCTTTTCTGGAGTTGGGATGATTGACCTCCAGCAACTAGAACTGTGTGTCTGGTATGACTCCAGCCAGTGGAGAGCTTTCCCCTGATACCCATTGATTCCAGTTTTGCGAGGGCTTTTTGATACAGCATTCGGTCAAATCAGGCCATTGTGTCAAGGGCTGTCACTCTCACCTCACCTCTGGAATTCAGCTCTTTTGTCCATGTTTGAACGAACACTGTAAGAGGTCAGGGGCTGACTGGCCCTGGGGGGAACCCAAACCTGGCGTCAGTAACAGGTGCTGCTTGATAGCACTGTTGATGACACCTGCCGTTACTTTATTGAAGATCGACAGTAGACTGATGGTGATTAGTGAGGCTGGAATTATCTTTTTATGTACAGGACATAACTGGCCAATTTTCTACATTATCAAATAAATGCCAGTGTTCTAGCTGTACCGGATCAGCTTGGCTACGGGAGCAGCAAGTTGTAGAGTGCAAGACTTCAGTACTACTGCTGGAATGTTGTCAGGGCCCACGGCCTTTGCAGTATCCAGTACCTTCAACAGTTTCTGGATATCATGTGGAGTCAAATTGGCTGAAGACTGGCATTTGTATATACTAAGTTATATACAGGCAAGATTAATTTAGTGGGCTTACCACCAAAAGGAACTCAACTTTCAAATGGGCATCTTGTTTAATGGACAAGTGATCTCCTATCAATTATACTGACCTTTCATTTGAGTATTTTCAAAATGTAAATTATTGCAGGAAATACACCAATGCCTGGAGTGGACAAATCTGTAACTGTACTCAATCCAAAGCTACTGACCAAATAATCTTGCCATTAGATTAATGTATTTCACATTTTCAGCTTCAGCAACAACTTACCACACTTTCTTGTAGACTATTTGGAAGGCTGGTTGTTGAAATGCCATGTGCAGGCCGCTGAGATACGTCAAAGTTTTGCAATGGACCACCTACACTGTAACTTCGGATTAAGGATGCTGTCCATTTTGGAGGATCGTCATTTACATTGTCCAGCAAATCCTCCGGGCCCTTTGGTACAGCACTAGTCAAAAGAAAGAAGTAAATAAATTGCTTCTATAAAATCATAGCATCACAAGTAGTACAGCACATGTGGTGACCTTTGGTCGATCCCTGGTTCTTTCTGGAAAGTAACCCAATCAGTTGTCCTTTGTTACTTTGCCCACAATACCCCTACAATGTATTTCTCCTGACAAATACTTATTCAATTCCCTTTTGAAAGTTACAATCGTACCTGTTTCCACCATCCTTTCAGGCAATGTATTCCAAATTGAAATCACTACTAATAAACACTTCCACAAAGTACTAAGGACATTTTTAAACTTGAATTGCAAAATGCGCTTGTTTTTTTAAAAACAAGTGTGATGTAATCAAAAATGTGACTGATGTAAATTAGGTAGCTGTCTGGAGCCAGTGAGAAAGGGAGGGGCGCTAAGGGGCGAGAGAGAGAGAGAGAGAGAGAGAGAGAGAGAGAGAGAGAGAGAGAGAAGCACACTTGCAATTGTGAAAGTTACTTACAAGAATGTTATAATCACGTTACACTTGCGGCACATAAATGTCAGGCAATGGCCATCTCCAATAACAAACACTAACCATCAATCCCCCAACGTTCAATAGCATTAGTATCACTGATAAAAGCTTGTTGTGAAGATCACAGTTCAGGAACTATCCCCTAGTCACCAATATTGCAGGTAAAGACTTTGCCCCGAAGTTCTAGAAGTCTGCTAACTTGCAGCCAGACAAAAGGAAAACAAACAAAAACAGAAATTGCTGGAGAAACTCAGCAGATCTGGCAACATCTGTAGAGAGAAAGCTCAGTGAACATTTTGGGTCCAGTGGCCCTTCTTCAAAAAAAAAACAGGACAACAAAAGGACTCTCTCACTCATGTTTGTTGGAATTCAAATCACAGTTAAAAGGAATCAGAACAACAGAATCACAACCTATCTGAAAATTAAGGATCGTGAAATTGACTGTTCATCAATGAACACCAATGCTAACAGCTGCAATGTTGAATTGTGCTTTTTGTGAACAATTCACAGACTGATTCGTATATATTTTTTAAACTTTATCATTTTGAACTCAGCTCTCAACTCAGTTGCTGAGTACACACACGTGTGTTGTGTTAACACTTCTTCCCAATTAATAAACTCACTCTTTCAGTTATTTCAAGAAAGCCTGTAAAACTGGCTCCTTTTAAAACATATGTTTTTGTTCAATCATTCATGGGATGAGGGCTTCTTTGGCTAGGCCAGAATTTATTGCCCCAATTGCCAAGAGGGCAGTTAAGAGTCAACCACATTGCTGTAGGTCCGAAATCACACGTAGGCCAGAACAGGTAACGACGGCAGTTTCCTTCCCCACTGGACATTACAGAACCAGGTGGGATTTTTCAACGATTAACACTGGATTCATGGTCATCATCAGACTCTTAATTCTAAATTTTTTAAAAACGGAATTCAATTCCACCATCTGCTGTGGTGGGATTCAAACCTGTGTCTCCAGAACATTACCTGGGTCTCTGGATTAACAGTCCATTGATACCGCTGGGCCATCACCTCCCCTTATTATTCTGGGTCTCACAGAAAGGTATCCATAAGGGAAAGGATCTTTTTCAAATTAAACTTCTTGTAACAAACCAAGGGGGAATGGTGAAAATAAAAGCAGAGGCAGTTCATCCTTCCTCACCCAGGAGTTTAACAGCTTGGAGTATCCCATCTGGAACTGTAACTAATGGGGAACATTGCCTACGGTCTGGTTGTAACAATATAAGCTGACAAATGTTCTTTTTAATTCTCTTTGCCTGCCCTGTAGCTGAATTGCATAGTGACATTCAAATTTTGCTTTGTTAAACATAAATACAGTTCAAGTTTATTAAAGCTTTCAAAATCTTGTTCCGCTTTGAAGCTTCCTGTGGAACATACAGGCAAGTTGCTGGGTTGTAAATGAGTTCAGCTCTCGAGTCTGTTCACAAGCCGAACTGAACACAAGTCAGAACACGATGCAGGACAATATCAAATAGCTGTTTGTAAGTATGAGGAAACGTTTGTATGTTAGATCATTAAAATTAATATTAATACACCCCTGTATGGGATCGCATTCATGAATACAAGTGTTAAGTTAGATGTTGGTAAATCAGGACCCCCCCGTACCAGGGAATTGCATAAAGCAGAATCAGAGCTCCAGGTTTGTTTAAATATCCATGAAAAGCTGATCGACATGAAGTTGTTGATAGTATGAATGTGGTACATTTAAAATCTCAAACTTTTAGTAACAGATAAGTAATAGGATATAGATGTGTACTTCCAATGGGTTACCAAATGACATGAAAATCACAAGAAGAATAAAAACACAGTTAGTCGTCTTCTGGTTTGTCACATGCATCTATAAATCAATGTCAGAGGTATTATGCAAGGAAGTCTGGGAGTAAAATCAATTATTTGAGCTTTGTAGCTAAAGGAAGAAATAAGTTAGGTAAACAAAACATTAGGCAAAGGAACTAACAAGAAGGGAATAAAGGCTATTTGAATGCTGATTACAGAAACATTACCATTTATCTTCAGAAGAGGACTCTTCCTGAGTTGTTGTGGTAACAGGTGAATCTGTGCAATTTATTGGATTTGATGCTGCTGGAACAGTTTTCTGCGTGGCGGGATCGCCTCCTGCAGTTACATTGTTGCTGTGCAAACTGTCACCAGATACACTGGACTTCAAGAAAAAACTGAGGAAAATGACAATCATACAGTTTAATTCAGATACTGATCACAAGTGCAGACGAAGTTTAGTAATTCTCTGTGGGAAAAAAAAAAATCTGCACACCTATCAAATTGTTTCAACAACTAAAATCCAGCAATTTAATCTCCAGTCAATATTAACTTTGCCACAGCATGTTTCAGTCATCAAAAAATTGGTGGCACTTCATTACTTAGAAAGAGGTTCACAAGACACTTATCTGTAATACTTCTCTTAAAGCGTAAAGCAAACAGCAGTTACCACGTTCCTCTGTATATTTTCAGAACACCATACCACAGCAAATTTCTGATGACAGCTCAGCAAGCAGGAACTTTGAGCCAGATGGGAGAATATACCAATTCTATGGCAGTCTATTCGCCAACCTTTCTACCCTGCTGCCTCTCCCGAAGATTTTGAAAGAAAATCTCATACATGAATACAGGAATATGTCGTACCAAACATGAGAATTTATAAACTACAACAAAAAATACAAAGCAATTGAATACCTTCCAGTATCTCGCAGATCCTTAAACTCAACGTTTAGAACTGGCAAGAAAGTATTTTTACAAAATGGACAAGTGGTGTTAAGGTTTGAATCATCTGCACTCCAGCCAGACATAATCTCCTCATCATAAACTAAAGCTTCACAGACACGACACTGAGAACAGCTGGACATCAATACCTTTTGAGGGAAAGAATGAAGGAGAACGAATTAACCAAATATATCCATCTTTTAGAGTTACTCAGTTAGAAAAATAACAGGATATATTTTTAAATACATCATTTTTGATTCAAATGACAAACAAAGCAACGTGTTCTTTGCATGAAATTAGTAATAATAAAAAGTGCAGTAACAAAATATTCTGAAATATGATGTGCTAATGGGATGTGCACTTAAATTACCCCATGGAAGCAAGATAACTAAAGAACCAACTGAACACAACTGAAGTTAAATGTTTTCATGTAGAAAACCTGACAGACACAAACTTTACTGAAGACATTAGTTAATTGTGAATGGCACAAGATTTTGTTTCTATATTTGAATTACTTCTCTTGAAGTGACTGAATTATAAATTTCTCTTCGGTATAATTTCAATATCCTTGCAAGTAGGTTTCATAGCAAGAAGCTTGACAACATGATGGCATCCACACAAAAAGCAATAACCAGGATTGATTACTGATGTTCATTGTGCTTAAGCTATGAGCTGGTAGGTTACCATGAAGGGCTCTGGTTCTCAACCTTTTTATCTGTGAGATGGTGAACCTCAGGTTAATCCCACCACCAGCTGGTCTCTCCCTAATGAGAGCAGCTTATGGTCCAGTAGGACTATGGCAATTTTACTTTTAACCTTTTGTTATGATGTTGGTAGATACACTGGAGGATACAAATGAAGGATCACAGTATGAGCAACAGAGTTTAAAAAAAACACCAACTGCTAAAATTCTCGACAAATTCAATTTTCATTACTTGTTTTTTTTCCCTTTTTCCTCACTTGGCCCAATATTTACAATCAAATACGTACTCCTAAAGCTGCAATACATAGCCATGTACAAAGATTAAATATTCTCCAGTTAGAATGCTAGACAGTTATTTCACTTTCTACTTAGAGAAAAGTAGCAACTTTGGTATAGTCATGAGCTGAGTGGAAACTGAAACCTTGCGCTCCACAGTAGCTTTCAAACATTGGCTACATGGTGCAGACTAAACCAATCTGATAGAGAAACCATTGCCTCAGACCAAATTAAAATGTTTGGTGGCAGATACCAGCTTCACAACACTTGCAATTCATCATTACCATTAATATGTATGCTGACTGCACAATATTTGCTCTCTCTGCATGATTAGTAACCAAATATTATGCAGTAAGTCAACCTCACCACATCTCAATCAACTCCAAAGACAAATATAATGATCTTTCATATGGAGTTAGCATAGCTCAGTTGGTACTGCTCTTACTTTTGAGTCAGTGCTTCTGCATTCAAGCACAAACCTTGCACATGGAATCTAGGATGATACTCCAGTACAGCACTGAGCAAATGCCACATGACTACAAATGCTATTTTTAGATGGGATGTTAAAACCATGCATTATCTTTTCTTCCAAAAAACACATTTGAGAGATGTGGGAGTCACTAGCTGGGCCAACATTTATTGTCCATCCTGAGTTGTCCTTGAAAAGACAGATGCGAGCTGCCTTCTTGAACTGCTGCAATCTGTTTGCTGTAGGTAGACCCACAATATCACTAAGGAAAGAGTTCCAGGATTTTGACCCAGTGACATGGAAGGAATGGTGATATATTTCCGAGTCAGATGGAGAGTGGATGAGAAGGGAATCTGCAGGTGAAGGTGTTACCATGTATCTGTTACTCTTATTCTAGGTGGTACTGCTCATGACTTGAGAAGCTGCTGATTGAGGTGTCTTCGTGAATTTCCAATGTGCATTTGGGGAGTCTGGAGAGGAGTTACTCACTGCAGACATTTGAGAGTCTGACCTGCTTTGCAGCCAGAGTAATTGTATAGCTAGTCCAGTGCAGTTTCTGGTCAACGGTAACCCCTTGGACGTTGATAGGCGTGTGTGACTGTGTCTGCGCATGCCTGCAGGTAGTGGTGAAATAAGTGATGGTAATGCCATTGAATGTCACAAGGGGTGGCAGCTTTGATTCTCTCTTGATGGAGCTGGTCATTTTCTGGCACTTGCATGTCGTGAACGTTACTTGCTACTTGTCAACCCAAACCCAGTCAATATCCAGGTCTTGCTACAGTTGGACATAGACTGCTTCAGTGTCTGAGGTATTGCGAATGAGGCTGAACATTGCTGATTGTGAAATTAACAAATCTGAGTGTAGAATGCGCATAGTATGACTTACCACCTAATATTTCAAGAATATTTGTCTTTAACATTTTGGTTTGCAGTTTTAAAGAATAATATTCATGATTTCTGCAAGAAAAAGAAGTGTAATTTTCTTACCTCCATTGCAAAATTCTGGAAAATACTTGATGTACTGGCACACTGGGAAGACCCACGATCCGATTTCTCAGGATCATTTTCTTTTCCTACTTTAGATGAATGTGTAGCACCTAGTCAAGTGCAATATTAAGATGCAATATAAATATTAAAATACTCTCATGGATAGGTAGGGGAAGGTAGCTTGCACTGCACATATTGAGGCCTTGATTTCAGTGTCAACAAAGAAATGGCAATGCTTGCAAAGAAAGCTACCTACTAAAATCAAGTAATCTGTGCATAGATTTTGTTGGAATCAGCATCAGCTTGAATCGGGTGACAAGAAATTTTCAAGTGCCCAAAAACAGTAATGGCATCACACATGGGAAGACATGAAGTATTCTCTCAGACAGCCAGTCCGGAAATAAAACACCACTGATACCCTTCAATGAGATTAGGAAAACATGGTTGAGGATTATCAGATCAACCATGCTCTCATTGAATGCAAAGTAAATTCGATGGCCCAAAAGGCCTACTACTGCTCCGAAGTCTTATGATCTTACAGTGTGCAAGATAAGTGACTGGATCATGGGATTACATCAGAATTCAAGACAGCAATATCAAATGCGTAAAAACTGAAATTATCCATAGGGTGATGGTGGGTTAGTAAGGGAGAAGGTGCATGGAAAGGTTGGAATGACGATGGGAGAGGGATGAAATGGGTTGCTGTTTATAGAAATGTTGGGCCAATACTCAGAAGATTGAGACTGTTTATTGACATAAGATTCTGAGAAGGGGCTTAACTGGGCAGATACTAACAATCGTATAGGAGAACCTAGAACTAGGGGCACAGTTCAGGATAACATTTACAACAGAGATAAGGAGTAAGGTATTTGCCTGGAGCTGTGAAGGTTTGGAACTTATTTTGTATAGATGTGCCCATTTATTTTACAGAACACAGTATCTAATGCTCGAGTTAAATTTGACTATAATTGTGTTAGTGATAACACACAGGAAGTATCAAATATATAGTCATGGGGTTTATAAGTGAGTAAGCTGGAAAAAAAACAGCAAGAAATGACACGATCAATAATTTTAGCGATGCAGTAATTCACAAATCTAATGAAAGAATCAATAATAGCGAGTTTTAAAGCCCAGGGAATTTAGACGGTTTATAGAGAAAGCATGAATTTCTGATTTAAAATGCAAATACAACATTCTACTAGTTTTAACTAACCAGTCAGAGGCTGTTTACCAGTATCACTGCTGTTGCTGCTGCCACCAAGGCTTGTGCTGCTCTGATTAAGCCCATTTGTTGGCATTGTCGTAGGCAGACCTACTCTTTCAGTTGGGCTTCCACTGTAGCCATAATCCTGAATACCAGGAGGAAAGTTGAATCCTGAATCATCAAAATGTTCATCCTGAACATGGAAAGAAACAATTAATTCAGCTTATAATAACCCATTTCAAAATGCTCAGCAAAGAAATAAGAATACAGAAAACAAGCAAGTGTTGTATTATAGTTCTAGTGTCCATTGTTAACTAGTGACTGAATTTCTGTGATTATTTATTACGTAAGCCAACAGCTAAATAGCAGTTGACATCCCTGACTTAGCAGAACCTTGATAAAGAACATAGCACAACAATTGGAAAACCGAGATGTTATGCTTCTCTGCACTGTAGAACAGAAACAATTGCCAGAATTATTTCCCAAGGCTGTAGATCTTGGTGCAGATCACCAATCCACTCAGTCAGGTCAAATAGACTACTATAGCAAGTAAGTTTTAGTCATTGCTACCTATTCTGCACTTATGAGTAAACAGGAAGATCAAACGCACATTTTAAATAATAAAAAATACATTTAAAAAAATGATAAAAAATGAAAAAAGCTAGATCAGATTCAAAACACAACTTCATCAATAGAACTGCAGCAATTACCAGCACAGAAAGGGACCATTGTCCATTCATTTGGAATAATAGGAGCAGTTTTGGGCCCCGTATACAAGAATGGGCTGGCCTTGGAGAGGGTCCAGAGGATGTTTGGAAGAATGATCACCGGAAAGAAGGACTTGTCACATGAGGAGTGGTTAAGGACCATGGGTCTGTATTAAATGGAATTTAGAAGGATGAGGTGGGAGGGGATCCGATTGATAGAATGGATGTGGATAAAATATTTTCATATTTTGGAGTAAAGGGCACAGCCTCAGAGTAAAGGGCACAGCCTCAGAGTAAA